AAGGGAGTGCGCTATAGACCATGGCGCATACGCGCCAGAAGAACACCTTACACAAGCGCCACGAGGGTGTGTTCTGTTTGGGTGGTACGGTGGTTGGTATCTGTGTGTGGGTCTGCCGCAGAAATTCTATCATTTGCTGGGTTTCATGATGTGCCCATATATAATTGGAGACAAACGTAGTAGAACATCCTGGTGCAACTCCAACCCCCAGAATAACGGATGCCGGGGTCCGGTATATGCAATAGTGTAACAAGGAACCACTATGCCCGCATGTGTGTCGTGAAGACCAGACAAATATATGGAGGTCAACTCGTGAAGATGTGATGTTGAGCTCCCTCTGTCGAGCTCAAGCTCCGCATGTCAGGACAAAGTGATAGTAACGACGTCGTCGCTCACGCGGAGCATATATGGCAACACATCAAAAGGACAATCGTGCGGGGTCCTTGCCAGCGAATCACTATGGTGAAGGATGGCCATTCTCTCGACCAGCCCCGAAGAAGTGTACATATGGCACACGTTTCTGGTTCTCAGAAGGTGACTACCTGACAGGTGAAGATAAAAAACCTCAACCTAAATAAGTCAACGATACATAGTGTATAACTCACACATGTTCGCAGTTGGAAAGTGAATTGCAGGTGCATAGGACCAAGTGTTTTGGGATACACGATTCACAGCATTGTATGTGTGAGGTATCACACAGGAGGGTGGAACTACGATCAAACTACTAGGGTTAATGCCCAGTCAACCTGGACAGTCATTTGCTAGATGGGATACCATATATTCTGTTGAGTCATGGGAGTTCTGTGTGCCAAGTTTGGTTCGATTCCATCGTTGGTGGAGTTCAGAATGCTCTTTGATTGTAGGTGAACTATGAATCCCAGCAACTACAACTCCCAAATGACAAAATCAACCCTCCCCCCCAACCCCACCAGTATTCCAGCGTAATGGGTCTTTGTGCCAAATTTGGTCCAGTGAATGAAAATACATCTTGCTTATCAGATATGTACATGACTATTCATAACAGTAACAAAATTACAGTTATGAAGTAGCAACGAAAATAATGTTATGGTTGGGGGTCATCACAACAGGAGGAACTGTATTAAGGGGTCATGGAATTAGGAAGGTTGAGAAACATTGTATATATTGTTCAGATACAAAACATTTAGAAACATCAGGTTTCAGCAATGTATTGATACATTTATGAGATCTATATGCTTTTAAAAAAAATCCTACACTGTTGGCAAGTCGAACTGTGTGAACTCTGGACAAACATGCCTCCCAATTTGGGATTGTCTGTACTTTTTTTTAGGTCTATGGCAACACAACTCTCAATCAAAGATAAGCTATTAAAAGTAAAATATGTATGTTAAACACATATCCCAACTTGCATCTTCATAGTCTTTCATGTTGCTCCAAGCTGCCAAGGAAAATGTGAGATACTCAGAATGATTCCAGGATTCCTACAACCAGACTCACAAGCCAACAAGGTAATGACTTATTGAAGGCTTTCATGACTGGAATCACTGGGTTGTAGGTTTTTCGGTCTATATGGCCATGTTCTAGAAGCATTCTCTCCTGACGTTTCGCCTGCATCTATGGCAAGCATCCTCAGAGGTTGGCCTCTCACAACCTCTGGGGATGCTTGCCATAGATGCAGGCGAAACGTCAGGAGAGAATGCTTCTAGAACATGGCCATATAGCTCGAAAAACCTACAACAACCCAAGGTAAGGACTACTCATTCATTATCTGTTATCATGCCACCATTCCCCAATATATAAATACATCTACTTTAAAGTGGCTGAGTATTCAAATGCTTCCTCTAGCTCAGGAAAGAACTTAAGTTTTTTTTTTTGGTTGTGTCAGGAACGACTTGAGAAACTGCAAGTTGTTTCTGGTGTGAGAGAATTGGCCGTCTGCAAGGACTTTGCCCAGGGGACGCCCTGATGTTTTTTTTTAATGATGCGAGTGTGGAGGAGAGCAAACCACTGACCACCTGCTGCAATGCAACCTGAGCCCTGCTACATGCACAATGGAGGACCTTCTTGCGGCAACACCAGAGGCACTCCAAGTGGCCAGATACTGGTCAAAGGACATTTAATCAACTACCAAGCTTGCAAATTTTGTGTTTTGTCTGTCTGTTTGTTTTGTTAAAAATGTAATACAAATATCTGGTTGCTCCTGAAACGATAAATAAAATAATAATAAAAAAATCATCCTTATGGGAGGCTTTTCTCATGTCCCCGCATGAGGAGCTGGAGCTGATAGAGGGAGCTCATTCACACTCTCCCTGGATTCGAACCTATGGCCTGTCGGTCTTCAGTTCTGCTGGCACAGGGTTTTAACGCACTGCGCCACCGGGGGCTCCTGAACTTCTTAAGTGATCAATGAGCATTGGAGATACATGAGAAAGGCAACTGATCTCTCTCCAGGAGTCCATTTCTGCACCCAAGGCATCTCCCTCTAAATCAAAGATGTACTTTATCCTGCCTTCCACTTCTCTAAAAGGACAGATATGTAGTTCATGCTGTTTTCACAGTGAGCTTCTGGCCAAGCAATTCCAAAGGGTGATGAGAGCAAAGTGACTAAAGCAGGCCTCTACAAATAAAGTTACTCTCCCAATCATAGAATCAAAGAGTTGGAAGAGACCTCATGGGCCATCCAGTCCAACCCCATTCTGCCAAGAAGCAGGAATATTGCATTCAAATCACCCCTGACAGATGGCCATCCAGCCTCTGTTTAAAAGCTTCCAAAGAAGGAGCCTCCACCACACTCCGGGGCAGAGAGTTCCACTGCTGAACGGCTCTCACAGTCAGGAAGTTCTTCCTCATGTTCAGATGGAATCTCCTTTCTTGTAGTTTGAAGCCATTGTTTCGTGTCCTAGTCTCCAGGGAAGCAGAAAACAAGCTTGCTCCCTCCTCCCTGTGGCTTCATCTCACATATTTATACATGGCTATCATATCTCCTCTCAGCCTTCTCTTCTTCAGGCTAAACATGCCCAGCTCCTTAAGTCGCTCCTCATAGGGCTTGTTCTCCAGACCCTTGATCATTTTGGTCGCCCTCCTCTGGACACATTCCAGCTTGTCAATATCTCTCTTGAATTGTGGTGCCCAGAATTGGACACAATATTCCAGGTGTTGTCTAACCAAAGCAGAATAGAGGGGTAGCATTACTTCCCTAGATCTAGACACTATGCTCCTATTGATGCAGGCCAAAATCCCATTGGCTTTTTTTTTGGGGATGTGGAGAGAAGACCAATCAAGAAGGCAAAAAAGGAGGTCAAAAATTATATTTTGCTGGAAATAAGGCAGATCTGTTGCACAAAGATTTCTAAACCTTGGTTCCTACTCAACCTCATTTCTCCACAGATGATGAAGCCAGGCCTTGATTGAATGGCAGGATAAGTAGGATCTTGCATCATTTCCATTTAATATCTCAGTAGGTGCAAACGCCCAGAAAAGGGGTAGCAACTTTGTCAAATTCTAGATGCTGTTGCACTACAACTCGCAGAATTCCTCACTATCAACTAGGGCTGCAGGGCCTTACAGTTCAGCAATATCTGGAGGCCTGCCCAATTCCCCAGCTCTGATCTAGAGAGGAAAATGAGGGGGTCAAGTTATGGTTGATATTAGCACAAGCAATAAAGGCTTGGATGTTGATGAGAGATGTCAACAAGGCAAGAGAAGAAGAAGAAAGGTGAAAACATGATCAAGCCGTCAAAGAAAGGAATGAAGGCTGGAATTGGCATTGGCATTGGACCATTGCATGTTCTCCCCCTCTCTTCTTTCTTCTGATGTGCTACCACTGATGACAACAGGCAACGGGAGGTTCTACAACAGGCACAGGCCAACTTGGGCCCTCCAGGTGTTTTGGACTTCAACTCCCTCAATTGTGGGAGTTGAAGTCCAAAACACCTGGAGGGCCCAAGTTGGCCTGTGCCTGTTGTAGAACCTCGGCAACAAGCTCTTTCCACCATTTTTAGGCAGTTTTGGATACTGAATTTATCTATCTGGCAGCCAGTCATGCAGAACCATGGGATGACATGGATACATGTGCATCATACAGAACATCTGCGTCATACAGAAGATCTGCCACCATTATGGGCAGATCTGCATCAAACAAGACATGGTCTGCACTAGATGAAGTCCAAGGGAGACACAGGCACACCAACAAAAACAACTCATTTTTAAGGAAACAGACAAAGCAGAAGGTAGTTTAGCTGGCCTTAAGCATTGGATGGTGCCGCTAGAAAAGCTGATGGCCCAAAACAAATTAAGTGATGCCTCAAAAGCGGTGCGTGGTCTTGTGATTCATAACACACTCAAAATGATCTTTACAGGTGAGTAATCTCCCAGAGCTCCTGGTGGCGCAGCGGGTTAAACCGCTGAGCTGCTGAATTTGCTAATTTGCTGACCGAATCTGGGGAGCTGGGTGAGCTCCTGCTATTAGCCACGGCATCTGTCAACCTAGCAGTTCAAAAATATGAACATGTGAGTAGATCAGTATGTACTGCTCTGGTGGGAAGGTAACGGCACTCCATGCAGTCATGCTGGCCACATGACCTTGGAGGTGTCTACGGACAACACCGGCTCTTCGGCTTAGAAACAGAGATGAGCACCAACCCCCAGAGTTGGACACGACTAGATTTAATGTCAAAGGGAAACCCTTACCTTTACTTAAGTTCTCTTTCACAAAGGGGATTCCTAATACTGTGTCTCAATATCTACATGGGGTGCTTGTTTAGACATCCAGAAAGAACCTCATGGGACTCCAGTATGGATTGGGAGTCACATTTTTTGAAATGGGGAAGAACTTTCTGTGTGCAGAGAAGCACCAAAGATAGATTTCCTCCTGTTATTTAAAACCTCTGATAAATATAATACAAACAAACTAGAATATATCACTTTCCAATGAGCTGTCCATGGGTTGAGGGGAAGGTTGTCTTTATCATAGCATTCATGAGCAATTAAAAAAAAAGAAACAGCTGATATGAACAATCTCATTTGGTTTTGTAAAAAAAAGGCTTTACTCCCTCAAGGAAAAAAAAATAGATTTACAAAACAAAAACAGCCTGCATCAACTCTCCAGGAGAGAGGTTTGACAATATTAATCCAAATATCACGCTATTTAATTCCCCAATAAAACATTGGAAAAAAAGTGCCTACAATCTTCTTTCTAACACTTTTTGCTACATATAAAATTTCCAGCTAATAGGAATCTTATGGTACCAACCCTCTAGGACAGTTAATATATATACACTTTGGGGGGAGAGGGGCAGGGGATATTAACAAACAGAATATTACAAAGTATTAAAGAAGGCAACTCTTCTGTTGGGTGATGTCCGCATTCACTTGAAGTTGGCGTAATCTGAAAAGGCGTCAATGTATTCCTGAACCACCTTGTAACAGAATTCGTACTGTTCCTAAAAATTAGACAGAAGAGAAAGGACCACATTAGTGCTATTCAACAAACACCCTGGAGTATAGCATACCCACTTGCTTATTATTAAATGCAGAATGATCAACACTTTATGTATGTATTTAATACATATTTATTTCATTTCTATGGTCTCTTTTGCCTGATCTGAAAGCTCTTTTAAGAATGATCTTGCAATCTTCTAGATCAGGCATGGGCAAACTTTGGCCCTCCAGGTCTTACCGGCTGTTACGAATTGTGGGAGTTGAAGTCCAAAGCACTTGAGGGCCAAAGTTTGTCCTGGCCTGGTTTAGATTAATAAAAGGTAGGGCTTGTTAATTAGGAGCACGTGATTGGACTCAGACTATTCCAGTGCATTAATAGCCGGTCTGGCTCCCAGCCTGTTGTGAACCATTGTCAAAGCCCCAAAACTTCTAACACAGCATTTCTTAACTTGGGGGTTGGGACCCCTAGTGAGTCAAAAAAAAGGGGGGGGGTGTCAGAGGGGTTGCCAAAGACCATCAGAAAACACAGTATTTTCTGTTAGTCCTGGGGGTTCTGTGTGGGAAGTTTAGCCCAATTTTATCACTGGTGGGGTTCAGAATGTTCTTTGATTGTAGGTAAYCTATAAATCTCAACAACTACAACTCSCAAATATCAAGGTCTATTTTCCCCAAACTCCACCAGTGTTCACATTTGGGCATATTGAGGATTAATGATATTGAGGAGCCCCCGGTGGCGCAGTGGGTTAAACCCCTGTGCAGTCAGGACTGAAGACCGACAGGTCGCAGGTTCGAAT